TGTCGGCGGCCCAGTCCAGCGTGCGCGCTTCGAACCAAGCATTTTCCAACCGTTTGCTTGCGCCGGACCAGTCCACGTTCACGTTGTGCACGTACATCAGATCCCTCTTAAAAGTATCGAACACGCCCATGTTGTTCATGAAAAGGCTTTTGATTTTCAACGTCTCTTCGAACCGATCGTCGCGCAACGTTGGCTGGAACACCGCGTGGTTTCTCGCCAGCAGCGACTTGGCCTCGAAATCGACGTGGCACAATATTTGTTTTAGCTCTTCGACCGTAGGATCCGGGTTCGATTTCGTTATGCTGTCGTATTCGTCAAACGTGTTACCCGCGGGGCATCCGGTCGTGGCTTTGTGCAGTTTATCAATTACATAATTGGTGGTGGCGACAATTTTTATATAGTGTTCCAGCAGATTGTTGGAACGCTGATAATACCAAGACAACATATTAATGTACAAGTTCACCAGCCACAACACGCCCGTACGCTTCACGTTGACGCTGTACAACGATGCTATCTGATATTTTACATTATGACTGTAATAACTCACGTTGCCGGTGGACAGCGTGGTTTGCGACGCATAATGGCGGTAGATTAAAAGCTTGACGAACCGCATGTGTGTCAGTCCGCTAAACAGGTACGTGCATTTTAAATCTTCATACAGTCCGTCGTTTCCGATAAGATCGACATTGCTCGGATGATTGTAACCGGTTTCCAACAGTCGTTCCGGTTGACAAAAGCACAGCATCGAACAAAAGACAATTTTTTTGAGCATTGCGGAGCGCAAAGTCACGTTTGCTTTGTGCTTTTTCGGGTGACGAAATGTTCCAACCGAAGAAATTATTTTTTATAACTGTTTGTACGATTTTAAATAATTACCGTCTACCACGTATATTTTATAATATGATTTATAACAGTCTAAAAAACGTGGCCAAAAAGTTCCACGTACATCGACTTGTTTCTTACTACCACAGCGATTGAACGGTTTTTGTTCAACTCGGTGATTTAATATTTTTTTTTACTAAAATAACGTGTTGGTGTCTCATCATTTTACAGTAACAGTACTTATTGCTCGTTTCGTATTTGTTCAGGCCACATTTTTTATTTTGACGGTTCAAAATAGGCGTTTTCTTGTAGCATAATATTATATAGAATTATTGTAATAAGACTTTTTATTTTGCGGAGTCATTTTTTCCATAAAATTCTAACAATTTTTCATACGTAGCATAGTAATATTATATATTTTTATTCCTTGCAAAATATTCATAGCTATAAAACCAATGTATCTATTGCTAACGATTTCTGATCAATAGAAAAGCTCATTGATATTAAACAAATCAGTCAGTTTAAATAAATCCCTCTTGAATACAGACACAAAAACAAATACCTTACACCGTCGATAAACCAGAATTTTTTCGGCATCGCTTCGAAGCTTAAGTGATTAAAAATATAGAAGCAAATTTAAAAGAATATCGATAGACAAATAGTTTAAAAAATGTATTAGACTGAAACGCTAACATGGGAAAAGAGGACATAATATATGTATGTACGTAAGATGGATTCTTACTATATTAATATGAATGTGTTATTGGGCCGGATACAAGAAATTGCATGGATTAGAGTTGATAAGAGATAAGAGATATGTTATAAGAGATTGGAAATAGGTGATAAGAGATAACAAACAAGTTAAGTTACTTATAAGATAGTTGCGGTAAAAGTTGATTGGTATAAAAGAGCTATTCCAAATATTATGAGATTTAAGATCTCAAAGAGTTATGTAAATTTATATCATTCTCATTTAAAAACAAAATATAAATTTAAGATATTTTCAAATTAAATCAACTTAAATCATTTCAGTTGCATTTTAAAATCAATTTGGGTTAAGTCACTTAAAATAGATAGGTAAACCACTGAATAGACTGAAATGTTTTTTATCTATGGTCATAATATAGATTACAGGGCTTTTAATTCCGTTACGCAGGTATCATTACTTTGTATTTTTATGTTATTCATTTAATCACTATAAATTCTTTCGTTATTTGAATAATATTATTATTATCTAACAATATGTCACGGTTAAATAATAATCGCCAAGCAGAAAAATTAGTTAGTTTAGTAAAACAAACAAACCACAACAATTCTTCAAACATATTTTACAAAAACAGTGAGTAGAATAATATCGTCCAAGCTTTTGATAAACGACTCCCTATATCTAGTAAAAAGCAAAAAGATTTATTAGATCTTCTACCTCTTATCTCACCAGTATACTACTCATTTTACAAAAATCAAGATCAAGAAGATACATTAACCCAGATCTGGTAGATATGAACCATTAAGTACAGTAAGTTTAAATAATACAGTGTAATACGGGGTATAGTACAGCGATGTTATTATAAATGTCATTATTTAATGTTTTGTAACTGATTGGAACATAACACTTTTCTTATTCTGGATCCATAAAAAGATATCTAAAATAGTATTAATATTAATTAACTTTAAAATTGGTTACTTTCATTTAAAAACTGAAATATGTAACATTACATCGTTATATATATATAAAAATCTCAAGATATAGGGTAGGTTAGATAGGAAAAATTGGAAAAGGGGCCCGGAAAATTGGAAAATTCGAAATTTTAGGGAAATTTTATTCCGATAGTAATAATATACAATAATATTAATTTAGCAATAACATATGTTTCTTGGCAACCTAATCTAAATGGTTGTTTAGAATGATCTCTATCCGTATTAAATTACTCTCAGTCCATATGCGAGTAATAAATAAACAAGCTTACAATGTGACTGCTCATATCGCTTAATTCCACATTCTTTTGTGTTACTATAATTGATTGGATGCTGATTTTGCGTTTTGATGTTTTCCAAGCTAAAATGCGGCTAAAAGAAATTCTGCTGAAGCAGTTCAAAAGTCCGACAAAAAGAAAAAACGTGTCGTCAAACAAGAGGTTGTTTCAAACGAAGAGTCAGATGAGCAGTCTGAACACGACAACGGTGGTGAGATCGGTGAAGAACCAAAAAAGATGCAATACCGACTAACATCCGTTGGGCCAACAATGATATTCAAAAGCTGTCGTTAACTCGATTGGAAGTGGTGCTTCCGAAAAACGACACCCTTGTGTTCCGTAATCGTTTACCGAAAATAGATTGGGACAAAGTAAAATTCGATTACTACAATAGAGAAGAGTGTCAGACAGCATTGACGACGATTCAAGACCAGCTGAGAACGCAAAATTGGGTGATCTTGCGAAAGACGCAAAACATCTGTTGGCCACCAAAGGTATTGATACAAGTCATTCCATGCAAAATCGTGTTCAAAAACCCAAGACTGCTTACATGTTGTATTTTACTGAAATTTTTCACGAGTACAAGAAGAAATATCCCGACACGATGCTACCACAACTCACGCAAATTATAGCAGAAAAATATAAAAACTTATCGCCTGATAAAAAGCAAGGCTTTGCGGATAGGGCGAATTTATTGAAGACTGAGTACACTGAACTCATCGCCAAGGCAAATGAAAAGAAAAAATCAAAATGGATTAAATTAGCCAATGAACGCGAGCAAGTTTACTTGGACCATTTGAAAAAAGATCACAAAGACGACCCTGCATTTAATATGCCGAAAAAAAGTGCGTTAACCAAAGAAGATAGGATTATTTTAGAATCTCAGTCTAGAAAACCCAAAAAGCCAACTGTAAAGAACTATAGTCTTTTCTCGACAGAAATGTTATAAGGAGATTATCTTGCCGGAATTCCTCCAAAAGAAAAAATGGCGACTGTGGCGAAAAAATGGAAATCATTTTCAGAGGAAGAAAAACAAATTAAAAATAAACACTGACCGTTATTGGACTGAATTCAATGCATATCTAAAAACATTACTAGAAGAAGAAAGGCAATTAAAAATGAACAAAATGAAAGCCAACCCGAAAAAGGCAGAATCGAAAATCGTACCTCGAATAAATGCCAGAGAGGGAATTTCAGAAAAACCGAAAAATGCATCTAAAAACAATCTGCCGACAAGTCAAATGATTCTAGTATTATTATAAGATGAAAATAAAATATATTGCTGTGTAATATTCATGTTTATTGTTTAGTGTTTACTTAATAATTCTCTACATATTTATATAAGTGGGTGTGTGTGAATTGTTATCAAAATATAAATGTATTGTGTTGATGTATGCCCCCACTCCAACATGCTTTGTCCCCAATATGCCCTGATCCCAATGTACTGGCATGTTTTAAATATATTTCTTAGGTAAAACACATTAAATAAAATTATGAAGTTGTCAGTCTGCCATTAGATAAAATTGATTATTTAAATAATCAATAATTAACCAAATAATATTCAAATAACCAAAAATATTCTAAGATATAAAAAAAATGCGGTATTATTTCGTTTTGTTAAGTCCTTAAAATTACATAATTTTGGTAAAAAAGTCAAATAGTGTACTTCGTATTGTTACTTAAGTTGTTGATTATAATATGATTAGGCGGATGACCCAAGTATTACACATTTTCGGGATTGTAATCAGTACTTTTTTGAATATTTATTTTAAAAAATGTTTCTCGTTAATCTTTAAAAATATTTTTTAATTTATCCATTAAATAAATCCATGTATTTTACCTACAATGGGTAAGTAGTAAAAATTACATTATATCCCATTTAAATAACGTACATATTATTTTTTCTTATTTCAAGATTTATCAAGTGTAAAATGTATTTACAAGTGTTTTGTTTTTGTAATTGTATGTTACTGTGCTGTGTAATAAATCTACAAACATCTTCGAACAACATACATTTAATAAAAATCAAGTGTTTTTTGTTTTGACCTAAAAAAGCATATTTTTTTGGCTAAATGTTTGGTTAAAAAAAAATAATGCAAATCTTGTTGTTTGTTTTTTAACATCATAAATATATTAAAGGAGGGTTTGAACATATTTTATATTTGTAATATCACACAAAATATGTTATATCTTATTCTTTGTCTAGTTCTCTAGTCGGATATACTTGAATTGTTAAAATAATATTTCATATTGATGGTTTTGAAAATGTACATCAGAAAGACTATCGTCTCGGTTCTTATACTAACAATAATTACAGGTAATACATACTTTGGTGCTTTGCAAATTTAATATTGTAAATGATATACACGTTATTACGAGGATCATTCAGAAAGTAAGGTTACATCATCATTTATACAAAAAACGAAAAATGCATATATTTTAATGAAATCCATAGGATATGTCACAAGTAATATAATAAAACTTAAACGCCTTCAAGTTTAATGCATTTTTGTAGCTGGGGGACCAACTTTTGTATGCCCGTGTTATAGAGCTCTTGCGCCAACCCCTTAGCTACTTTTCCACCATCTACTTCATTGTCGCGAACAAGGGAGACTTTATTTTAATGGTTTGTATCATTACGTTAATGTTTTATTATGTATTACAGACGTTGCCGGAAGACCGATGTATGGTCAGTGTTATTCATACATTTAGTTTTAACCTATACAAAATAGCAATGAAGTTTCTTATATTTTTGTAAAAGGCCGTTTATTTATAAAAACTTACCTATATGAGAGAAAAAAATAATTTAATATTAATCATTAATTCGTAAACATTGAAATATTATTGTAAAATATTTAAACGTATACTTATTGGTCGAATAAAAAACCTGCGGAGGAAACTTTTTGTACTCTAAATATATTGTCAATATGTCGTACATTACGTTTAAATAATTATTATGGACAATTCTTGTCTAGTCGAGAATTAAAAAAAAAACAAATTTAGACAATTACCAGTAGGTAAAAATGTGGATTATTTTACCTTTTTTTAGTCGACTAGTTATTTATTGTTAGTTTAATACATCATTAGCTGTATCAATATTTGTCTCTGTTATGTGGCGTGTAAGATAAGATGAGCGTTAAAATAAACAATGTGTTAGTTCTGATATTTAAATTAAATTTTATGAGATACCTATTTTATTTATTTTATATGCTTTATTATGTATATAAATAACATGTTTTTTATGCAGGAGGAAGTGGTAGTAAAAATGACAACAAAGGCAAAGGTAAAAACATTTTTTTTTTTATTTTAAAAAAAATACGTAAATAAAATACTATTAATTATCTGTTCAAAGTTAAACGAGGTTTTCCATTCTAATCCGTTAATGATTAAATTTGTATTAATTTTTTTTTGTTAAGATTAATAACCTTTTTAATTCTAATCATTTATAATAATTATAAGTATGTATTATCAACAAATTAATCTCTGTTTTTAGGCTACCTCAACACATATTGAATTGTAAACGTACCATTATAATTATTGTTAGTGATCCAATATAATTTTTTGGGAAAAACATAAAGATATCTCTTATGTCTCAAAAGGTTTTGTGATAGACGAAGACCTATGGGGTGCCCGATTAAAAGTTACCATACCCGTGATGGGGTTGGTTCTCTTCCCTTATTTCCATCCACGGCTGCCTCCACCTGGCCAACCATGTCAAAATTAGCGTTACTGAAATTTATTACTTATTCTAATGGGGGGATTTTTGGACTTAAGTAATGGTGTCACTGTGTCATCAAATACAATCATTTGTGGAAAATTGAGATCACGTTACATGGAGAAAAAAAAACATAAAAATATTGAGTTACCCATGATAAAAGAATCACCATGTCTATATATTTATTGACATTTTCATATCTTAGCTATGGCACATAACCAAAAAATTGTTAGTTACAGAAGCGTTAGTTACAAAAGCGTATCTGATAAAATATAAGAGATGAAGGAGGGTGCTGGGTCGGGGTGGGATGGGGTTGGTGGTGAGGTTGGGAATGGGGTTGGGGGTGGTAATGTGGCTGGAAATTAGCTCTGGCACATATTCGAAAAAAGCGTTACGTTGTTATCTGATAAGAGATTAGAAATGAGATACATGTTTATGTACTATTTCATTATCTATAATTCCACCACTACTCTAAATTTATTCGGTACTTCAACGAGACATGAAAATGCTCTTTCGTGGTTGCAGACTCGGCAGAAAAACTTTTATATATATATGCACCATCGGTATCATCTATTTAATATACTGTACTATATTATACAGTTATTGCAAATTTTCAATGTAAATTTGTTTGCGTTATGGTTGGTGTATGATAATTATAAACTGTGGAATAATGATTTAATGTCACCATGTGGTCATCACTTTGTGAAAACAATGAAATATTTATTTTTTAATTACTTTTCGGCGGTACTTTAAATCTATAAAAATATACCGATGTAGGAAACTTAATAAGTGTAGATTACTGACACACGTCAATACAATCGCTTGTGCACCTATGATAGCATTGAAATTTTAATGGGTTTTTAATAGTTGGCGGCTTTACATTGATCTCCATAATCGGAATTTTATTGGTTACAAAATTTGTATTGATATATTGCCTGGTAATTGTTTAAATGTTTTTTATGATTAAAATGCGTTAATGTTTTCTATTACGGCCAATGTTGGAAAACCCATGGAGGCTGAGTGTTATACAATATGTATTTCATACATAGTATATAATATAGCAGTGAAGTTTCTTATATTTGTTTAGAAAAGGTAGTTTATCATAAAAATGTACTGTTATGACACGGGAAACTAGTTTAGTTTATAATATTCTATAATTTAATAGTTCTATACTATTAATAAAAATATAAAAATTTCACTGGTATATTATATTAAAATGTGTTTTAGCCAAATTAAAAAACTGTGTAGAAAACTTCGTTGTACTCCAAACATATAGTTAACATGTCTTACAATATGTTAAGTTATTAATGGAGAATTCAAATCTAGTCGGGAATTTTTTAAAAAACAAAACTATTAAATTTAAATAACTAAGTGTTGGTGTAAAATTAAGTTGATTTTCCCTTTTTTTCGGTTGCCTAGTTTTTTTATTGTTAGTTTAATACATTATTGACTATATTGATAATTTACTCTGATATGCGGCGTAAGAAATAAAATGAGCATTTTCATCTTCCACAATCCGATAAATTTGTATTAGTTCATTATGTTAACTGTGATATTTGAATTAATTTATAAAAGATACCTTTCTCATTTATTTATTTCACTTTATTATGCATAAATAAAAAATGTTTAGATACAGGATCTGAGGGCTCTAATATAGGCAGTAAGTATACTGATTATATGGTATTTTACGAATTTTATTAAAAACATTTTTTCATTTTGTGCTAATAAGACTTACCGCACGCAGGAGTGGAATCCATTAATGTTTGGAATCCTAATCAGGAGACCGGTATGTATACTTTTAGAGTCTTTTTTTATTTTTTTGTACAAATATCTATTATTTGGTAGTATGTTAACTATGGAGAATTCTAGTCTAGTCGAGTTTTTTTTAAGAAAAACAAAGCTAATAAATTTAAACAACTAAGAGTATGTATAAAATTAAGTTGATTTTTCCTTTTCTTAGTCGACTAGTAATTTATTGTTAGTATAATACGTTAGCATAGTTATTTTATGAGAATGTTATATTCAGGAAAGGCAATAGCAACAACCGAATCGGAGGAAGGTATGTATACTTTTGTAATCTATTTAGATTTTTTTTATAAATATATGTTATTTTTTGTTAAATTTATCATTTTATATGGAATTTAGAGTATTCAAAATGCTACAATGTAAATGTCCGAAATTTACAGTATGTAGGGTATCCACGACCCTATATTAATTACGTAGATTTAAAAATGTCTATTATATATAAGTACAAATAGATACATGCTAAAACAATTAAATACACTTTAATTAAGTTTTGATACGAAATAGTAAATTTGAGGGATGAAGAAAAAATTTGTTTTCACTTTGCACAACAATTCCAGTAGAAATTATTATTAAGTTTGTCATAGTTTTAGTATATACATAAAATAATAAACGTTTCATTATTATACCCTTTCTTGTAACTTTATACAATATATAATTTTTTGATTCTGTTTTTCTTGCAGTTGTGGAGCGACCGATAGGTACATCAATAATTATGTTCTTATAAATTATTCTATTATTTTCCTATAGTTCTAATTTTTTTCTTACAAAGTTGTACGTTACACTTGAGTTATAAAATAAACACTTTTTTTTAGTGTGCAAGACTTGCGGAGGTAATAGCAAATGTTTTTAAATAATTATTTTACTTTTATTTGTAACATAAAAATGTAAAAAAAATACTATTAGTTATTTTAACTATTAAAAGTCAAACAAGGTTTTCCATTGGACATAATAGATATACTGCATTATTTTAAGGCATCTTATTGTTTTTATTGTTAATATCTCTTAATTTTATGATATTACATTACAGTAACTTTTTCCTAATATATATTTTTTTTTCATATTTTAGAACACAACAAGATAGATCAGAGATGTAAGGGCTAAGTATTTTAATCGATAAACTTTGCACTTATACAATATTTATGTAATATATTTTTTTTTAATCACAATATTTAATCGTCCAGATCCTTTATTTTATAAAAAATACAACCAACGATCTATAATGATTAAGTTATCTAAATGATATTTTTAATCGATTCAAACTTAACCAAACATAGTAGAATTCATTTTTCTAATTTATACTATTAGCTGAATATAATATTTACTTGCACAAGTCTACAGACAAAAATACTCTTCCAACACCATTTTTCTACTTTATAATTATTTATCTAATAATGAAAACCTTTATTACAGTTAATGTCCAAGAAAATTAATTTTAAAAAAATATTGTTTTGTTTCAGTTTGCACCTATTGTAGTAAGTTAAAAGTTTTTTTAAAATTTTTTTACTATGTCTTTTTGAAATATAAAACACCCGGACAGTATTACTTAAATTGAAAGAATGCGAGTAAGCGAATGGGACTTTCAACTAATCAAGAAACGGCTTTATTAAAGGTTTTCACATAGGTATAACATATTATATTTTAACAGCTTGCGTACGAGTCCATCACACCACGGGATACATTTTTATTACTAAGGTGGCTAATAAACATATCAAGTTTCTGGCTAATATTTTAGTGTTTTCAAAATATCTGGCCCAAAACAATTCATGGAGAATCTGGCCCCTTAAATTATTGAATTTATTATTCATTTCCATTTTGAACGTTTTGTATACAACATTAATGCCCCCATCCTATCTCTCACCCCCCTATCTCTACCCCTATCTCCTTTCCTTATCTCTTATCACTCTTATCAGATAAATCAGCTGTTATTTTTCGTTATACATCGTTATGATGTATACTTTTGACATTTTATTTTGATAAAAATGTCAAAAGTATACAAAGCCGTAATATAGTTAAGCAATTTGGTTTTCTATAGTGAGAATTGTTGAATATTATTGATAATTATTGTAATAACAGATTTATGTTATATTTCCTAAATATTGTTATTGAAGTCTTCTGGAGACATATAACTTATGATTCAAAATATTTTTCATTGTTCGTTAATAATAAAATTAAATAGAAAATAGAGTAGCTAAAAACATTGATACTATGATGATAAATTCCAATAACAATGTTATACAAGGTCACTGTAAAATATCATAGTATAATATATTACAGAGGACCTTACTTGGCCTTACCTAACCTAACCTAATTGAATTTTTTTTTAAATTATCTTTTATTTTGTACTAATACAGAGCAGCCAATCAAAGTATATTGGAAAGTACCTGAGATTGAACCCAGTATGTATAGTTTTTTAGTCTTTCGAATATTGTGTACAAGTATAATTATTTGGTTAAATGTTATCATTTTGTATGGATTTTTGGATTTTTTAACTGTTTTGTTACAAGCTATGGATTATTTTTTTTCACCAGTTATTTAAATAGAAAAGTGTATGCTAGCAGAATAAGTGTAGAGAATTCAGACTAACTATTTTTCAATGAGCACAACAATTATTTTATGAATTATTGTTTATTTTGCATTATTAATCATTTATTTAAAATGCTTATTAGATATTTTGAAATGTATAACCATTGTTAGTTGACAAATTGTAACTATAAAAATAAGTTATTTAACATAGCAAATAATCTTATACACATTTAAACAAAATTATCTGAATGATTTCTTAGGTATTGCAAAATGTATAAAATATAATGATTTAGTTAGCAAATAATTTGAAAATAAAAAATAAATCAACGAAAATAACAAAAAACTCGATTAAGAAGTAAAAAACAACTTGGTGTTTCTTGAGTTGGTCAATTTTTTTGATAAAATGTGTGAACAGATTTTGACGAAAAAAACAATAAGGTTATCCCAGATTTGGTCTTAAAATAAACATTTTTTTTCAGAGTGCCAGTATTGTAAAGGTAATTGTATATGAAATAATATTAATTAACAGTTTAAAGTTAAAATGAGGGTTTCAATTTAACATATAAAGTAATCGGAGATATGCGATGTGATATATTTTCTTCCACTCAAATCCGTTAATGACTAAATAGCATTGATAATATAATAAAAAAATATTGTACATCCAAGGTTATGTATACATTTTTATGTTCGTAACGTATTGGTTAAAGACATCTTAGTATTTAATATTTGATTAAAAAATTGAAAATATTACTTTACGTTAAGTTTAGCCTAATATATTTTTTTCATTTTTTAGCACCTAACAGGAGAGACCAGAAATGTAAGAGCTAATTTTTTAGTTAAATTGATAAACTTTAAATTAATATAATATTTATGTGGAGTTTATTAGTTGTGAAATAACGTCTAATGATCTATATCGATTTAGTTACCTAAATTATATTTTAAATCAATACTTACTTAACTGAACATAGTGGAATCTACTTTTCTAATTTATGTTATTAACCGAGTATAATATTTACTTGCACAGGTCTACAGAAAAAAATACTCTTCCAATAACATTTTTCCACTAAATAATTATTTATCTAATAATTTTATTACAGTTAAAGTCCAAGACATAAAATTAAAAAAAAAAATGTTTCGTTTCAGATTGCGTTAAATGTAGTAAGTTAAAAGCTTTTTTTAACATTTTTAATATGTCTTTATTAAATACAAATTATACGAAGTCATATAAAAATTTGATTTTCTATTGTAAATTGTTGAAAATGATCGATAATTATTCTAATGACAGATTTATGTTAAATTCCCTAAATATTGTCTGAACGTTGTTATTGAAGTTATTAAAATTAATTAGTAAATAGGGTAGCTAAAAACAGCGATATATGGTATTTTACTTTTTATGTAACTTTTTTTTAATATGTTTTTTTCTCTTACTAATATATCATTCACTGCGTGCAGACAAGCTAGTCAGCAATGAGTTCCTGAACGGTATGTATACTTTTGTAATCTTTTTCGATTATTATTTTGTTAAATTTTAACATTTTATATTAATTTTGGAGTATTCAAAACGCTGCAATTTAAAAGTTCAAATTTTAAACAATCTTGACGGTATCTCATGGAACTCAGTTTTGGTTTATTTGTTACACTATCGTAGATTTTAAAATTGCTTTATAAATAAATGTAAAACCAACGTTAATTGACGAATTGTAATTATGAAAAAAAAAAAGATTTAAAACAGTAAATAATGTGAATACAAATTTAAACTAAATCATCTGAATGAGAACAATTGAAAGAATACTGTAACCATATATATAATATTTAATTATTGCTCATATTGGTTGAAAGAATATAACATTATTTAAGCATCACAATAAAAGCGTATACTTTTAAATTGTTAAATTAAATTGTGGTCAAACCATCAAATTTTAATTAATAGATAGAATATATTAAATTGTATTATTATACCGTTCAACTGTAACCATGTAAAATATTTAATTGTTTGATTATATAAATTTTTATTTTTGCAGATGACAGACAGAAAGGTACATAAATTATTATATTCTTAAATAATACAAATTATTGGTTTCTTCTTACAAAAACTATTGTGTAAGGAAACCACTTTGAGTTTCTTTTGGCATCCAATTGCTGAAGACTATATTCATACTAATATATTTATAGCAATTATTTTTAAAATACAAAAATTATCAAAACTAACAAAAAAATCGATTAATAAGTAAGGAAACCACTTTGAGTGTCTTTTGTTTGTCGATTTTCTGATAAAATATGTAAACCAATTTAGACAATAAGTTTATCCTAGATTTGATCTTGCCTAATTCAATTCTCGAGCGATTCATTTTTCTGTAAATTGAAGTTTAAATTAAGTTGTTTCAATTATTATTTTTTTTTTTATTGGTTTTGATAAGTTGACTTAAATTATAAAATGAACACTTTTTTTTCCAGTGTGCAAACATAGTGATTGCCAAGGTAATAACAAGTATTTTTAATTAATGTTATGATTTACTTTAATAAAATATGTAAATAAAATTATAAAACTATATGTAAATTAAAAGTTTCAATTATTTAATTGGAACCCTGTTAACTTTAAATCGGATAACATATGCGGGTTGATATTTTTGTAATTCTGATTCGTTAATGATTTAATAACAATTTATAATATAAATATTGTATAACCATGTGCAAGTATTGAAGTTTCTAAAGGGTTTACTGAATTGGTTAACGACATCTTAGTTTTTAATTGAGAATTTGTATTATATTGATGGTAATATCTTACTATAAGTTTAGCCTAATAAATATATTTTTTCCATATTTTAGCAGTTAACAAGAGCAACCAAAAATGTAAGAGATAATTAGTGTAATTTATAAACTTTGCATAAAGATAATATTTATGTTGAATTTATTTATTTATGAAATAACATCCAATGATCTATAATGGTTTAGTTGTCTAAATGATATTTTTAATCCATACTAGCTTAAGTTAACATGGTAGAATTCATTTTTATAATTTATATTGTAAGCTAAGTATAATATTTACTGGCACAGGACCACTTAAAAATTACTCTTTCAATGCCTTTTTTTAACTAAATAATTATTTTCGCTAAAAATTAAAAACATTATTATAATAAATATCCAAAAATATTTATTAAAAAAATATTTTTATGTTTCAGTTTGCGTTAATTGTAGTAAGTTAAAAGTTGTTTAAACATTTTTTATAATTGCTCTATTAAATGCAAATTGTACAAGTCTTGTAATTGTTAGGTTGTAGTAATATTAAAAGTTTTTTAACAAATTTTTAATATGCCTTTAATAAATAAAAGTTATTCAAAGTCATATTATAGTAGTTAAGCATTTTGGTTTTCTAGTGAGAATAGTTGAAAATGATTGATAGTTATTGTAATGGCAGTTTTATGTTAAATTTTCTAAATATTGTCTGAGCTTTATCATTGAAGTCTAGGGACATAAATATTATTATAATTAAAACTATTTATGGGTGTATGTTACTAAATTAAATGGTAAATAAAATGGCTAAAACCATTGGTAGTATAATTTCGTGATATTTTATTTTCAGATAAACAGCTTAAATGACATAATATGTAAGTACTAAGTATAGTTTTACTCATTTTTTATTGCGTGGTTTAAATTATGAATTATTTATTATACATTTTGTTTTTTTGTGTTATAATTTAATGTTTTATATTCAGAATGCTGGACCGTCATTCACTTTCACTCCGATAGAAAAATAATAATTTCATTCTATAGTAATATATGTTATAGTTATTTTAACTATTGTATTCATATCTAACGCATTGATTTGTTGTAAAGAGTCTTAATTATCTTTTTAGTGTTACACAATTATTCAGTTTCCAAATATTAATAATAGTTATAAAATATAAACGATTAAATTGTAATTAGTTTGTATTTCCTATCATCGTTTTTAATAACTTCATTGATTTAAAATATTTAATTAGTTACATAACAAATAAACATAATAATATGATATTATTATAACTATACAAATGTATTTTGCTTTGACTTATTAAATTTCTTTAGTAAATATGGTGAACATTTACATAGCGTATTATGTCACTGTAAAAAAGAGTTTGATAAAAAAATTAACATAGAGCCTAATGGAAAATATAAACTTCAAAGCTCATATTCAGAAAGTTGCAAAAGGAGACATTGGCCCTTCTTGCTCCTAGCCACAGATATATTCCTTATGAATTTCCACTCAATCCAGACATTTTCCTAAAATTTTAGTAGGTTAAAGTTGACTTTATTTTTTATTTTAATTAATGAGCACAATTTTATGAATGTCCGTAATATTGTTCTTTGAACACTATATACTGTATACCCTAAGTTATTTTTCGTTAAAATTTTAAAATTAAAAATAATATGTTTACCCGTTACCACAACTCTTCGATCAATATAATTGCTGCATTATTAAAGAAATATAGTGTATACTTGGTTATATACTATAAGTCTCAGTTATATTTGTGAGTATTGCAATAAATATATATATATATATATATATTAAAATTGTCCACGGCAGTTTTCTTCTACTATAAGATGTAGAGGAACAATTATGTTTTCACTCTAGACTAATTTATTCAATTGTTTCTTCTCATAACGTTAGAAATATATTGTCATGCAATCTCTCTAATCACAAAGCACCCCCCCCCCCATCTATCCGGTCATAACCTCCTCTCAAAATGATAAGTAAAATATTTATTTTATTTATATTAAACTGAAAATTTGTCAGTAGTTAGAACTCATATGTATCCATAACATATTAAACGAAGAAAAAAATTCTTATAACGATTTCCGACCCCCGGTGGACCGTTTGTTTATCAAAACTCATGATATTATATTATATTTTATTTTAATAATGGAATACAGGCCAAGGCCCAGTGACATATGAAATATGTACATAAGTTAATCACAGTAAATATTAGAATGTATGCATAATAATAATAAATAGAAAATGATAAAAGTATCAAAAAATGAATGCTCAACGGAAACTAAGCTTATTTTAATGAGAGAAAGAACAGTCAGTATTGGTTTTACCCAACTAATACCTACTTTATTTTTTAGAAATATTAAAATAATAAGAATAATTAAGGGCATTGCGTAGTGCAGAGGATACTTCAGCTGTCAAGCGGCACAAGAGAATATCTGTGTCCGTTAGACAAGCATTATTTTGAAATTGATTTTATCACTTAAACAATGATATTGCTTGAAGATCTGCTGTATCGGCTGATTGGCATTCGGTTGTAACCACCCGGTACCCCTAACCCCATATGCTCATACTCTAATGCGCTGCATTAGATAAATTATTAAATATAATATTTTATGTTGTAGTCAAAAATCCAAAAAAAAAACAATGCTAAAAATATCATAACGCCAATATTATATTCGCTGTGGTTGTTCATATCAAGTATATGATCTTTTTTTGCTTTTTTAGAGTCAAAACTATGTAAACCATGTTCTTAAGTAGTTAAAAATTATAATTATACGATTCTTGGAGGTGATGTGATTTATTTACATCGCAACAGTCGTTGTAGGAACGACACGTTAACTTTGCTAACAACATATTTTCACGTTAGAAAATAACCGTGCAATTTAAAACCATTGAAATTTTAGGAAAATATTATATTAAGTCTTAGAACTTAGACTGGCATACTTCCCTGCTTTATGGAAATTCTCAATCATCATTATGATCCCCAAGCCTGGCAAACCTCCCGACTCTCCCGAATCATATAGGCCCATTAGTCTTCTTCCGCTATTTTCAAAAATGTTTGAAAGAATTATCCTAAAACGTATCCTTCCTACCGTAGAAGAGAGCATACCTAATACCCAATTTGGATTTCGTCATAACCACTCCACAATACACCAAGTCCATCGCCTAGTGGATAAAATATCCTATACTCTTGAAAAAAAGCTCATTTGCACAGCTGCCTTCCTTGACGTGTCTCAGGCATTTGACAGAGTATGGCATAATGGCCTACTCTTCAAACTCAAATCTATTCTTCCACCATACAATTTTCTTTTATTTAAATCTTATCTAGAAAACAGACATTTCGCTGTTCGATCTGGCTTCTCCTTATCCGAAGTATCACCAATCCACGCGGGAGTACCTCAAGGATCGGTATCTGCGTCTCTACTTTTCAATTTATTCACCTCAGATCAACGTACCACCCCTAACACTACGACTGGTGACTTTGCCGATGACAAGGCGCTTCTAGCCATCCATTCCGACCCTGAAATAGCTTCAAACCTCGTACAAAATCATCTCAATCTCCTTTCAACATGGTACAAAGACTGGGGGATTAACTTACTTGGGCAACCCATACCCATAGCAAAAGACTTACCTTAAATAACCGCTCTCGCCAATTACGGTATCTCCTCACGTCACAACATCTCAACCTAAAAAAACAAGCTCCTACTATATAAACTCCTACTCAAACCGATCTGGACATACGGTATCCAACCGTGGGATGCAGCCAAACCGTCCAACTTAAATAAAATACAAGTCTTCCAATCAAAATGTCTACGCCAAATAACCAAAGCTCCTTACTATGTTTCTAACGACACTCTACATAGAGATCTAGCCATTTCAACAGTCCAAAACGTTGCAAAAACTTTCTACAAACGCACACACTCCAAATTCCGCAGCCATCGTAATCCCGTGATTTCCGAACTATCCACCAACGCAATTCCTGGTGACCCCAGAAGGCGACTTAAACGTACCTGGTGTCGTGACCTACTAAATTAATTACATACTAAACTAACTCAATCTCATTTTCTCACAATAGCACATTAAAATAAACTCCTGCCCTTAAGTGCCTCCAATGGGTGGCTTCTTCTCTCCTGCCTCAAGCCACGTCTCTTCCATCACATACGCTTATTGTAAAAAAAAAAATAATAATTACAGATCGTGTATATTTTAATAATAAATGTTAAAAAAAAAAAATCCAAGAAAAAGGATTGTTAGCGTTTTAAAAAAAAAAACATTTATCTAAAAATGCCTTTTAAGTGTAATACGTAAAATAAAAATAATTAGACATATTAGGGCATTTGCTATAATTATTGAAACATCGAGATTCTACCGCGCAAGAAATAAAATAGGTCAAACATATAAGTACAATAACAACTGCAAAACCAAATATGTAAAGAAAAACACCTCGTTTTCGATAAAAAAAATAAAACCATATAAATTGTTTTTGTAAACTACGAAGATTCTTATAATATTCAAAGTTTGCGATACCCATATGAACTTACCATTTGTTTACATTACAACGCAACAGTCGCTGTGAAAAACAACTCAGTTTTGGTAAAAAAAAAACAACAATACAATATAGGATTACAGTTTACACGATGAATGATTTTATAAAAACTTCTTGTAATAAGTTATAATTATAAAGCATTTCCGATTTAGGAAAACGCAATACATAAGTTGTATGTAAATAAAAAAAAAAATAGGTACTCTCCACAGTTATTATTACAAGAACGTTCTATAATACAATCAAACACAAGCATTAAAAAAAAATTGCTACAAAAAAAGCTCGATTTTTACATTTGTTTACATTGCCTCAATCCAGGCAGATAACAATTTACCTTCAATTAAAAAAAACTACAATAAACCCTATCACATTTTATTGTAAAAATTGACAATTCTTATTATGTTAAAACATAAAAGATTACATTACAAATCAAGTTAACATACGCTCTAATAAATGTATCTTTAGACTTTGCACGGTGAATGTAATAGACGTTTTAATAGAAATTTAAAATTTACAATAAAAACTAAGTATATTATTTTATTAAAGTAAAAATGTTTTAATCATTTTTGTACCTTAATGTTTATGCCATTTATTTTCTCACATTATGTTACAATAATTTTAAATATATTTTTAAATTTGCATTTAATACTTATTATAAATAGCGAACATAATGATACCTCTTTTTCTTAAACATCTTGAAATATCAAACAAAAAATTACAATTTAAATCTTTACTGATTTGGGAAATATGTATTTCCTCAAAAAGTGATTTAAAATTGGTAAGACCCGTTTATTATATTTTGATTTTTGTGCTGTAGTCACTAATCGCAGTAATGTAGTCAATTAAATCCAAAGCAACAAATCTAAAATGTAACAACTCCCAGATGTGTTTTAAAATCAATTATAATTTATATTTTCTCCCTTATTGGATATAACAATATAAGTGATGCGAATTGTTCGAATATCAATAATTATTAATTGAAGAGCCAGTACAGGGGGGTTGGGGCATAGCGTGGACGGGGAGGTTACAGGTTTACAGGAATTGTTAAATCCGAAAGTGATAAAATCAATTTTGAATAAACGCTTCGATGTAAATCAGTAGTTAGTATTTTCAAACCAGTTCAGTTCAAACCAAGCACAGTGTACACCAGCAAAGTTAGAAAGTATTAAATTGAGGTGCTGTATTTACAAATAAGCATCTAAACGTTTTTATGAAAGTTATTTTATCACGTTTATTTATAATGATTCCTGTAGACGCGTGACCTCTCCGTCCCCTCTATGCATTGATTCCATTATGCCTATACTCTACTGTACTAGTCCTCTCGGATAAAATCACTTTCAAATTAACGCTTTGACGCTTATTTGTAAATACAGCACCTAAATTTAATACATTCTAACTTTGCTGGTTTACACTGAGAATTTATCATTTTCAGATGTAATAATTCGTGTAAATCTTTAACCTCCCCGTCTCCACTATGCCCCTACTCCATGTTTTTCCCAACTATGCCCTGATTCCACTGTACTGGCTTGTTTTAAATGTATTTCTTATCTAAAACCCATTAAATAAAATAATGAAGTGGTTTGTCTGACATTAGATAAAGTTGATTATTTAAATAATTAACAATTAACCAAATAATATATAAATAACCAAAAATATTCCAAGTCTTTAAAATTACATAATTTTGGTAAAAAAGTCAAATAGTGTATTTCGTGTTGTTACTTAAGTAGTTGATTATAATATGATTAGGGGGATGACCCAAGTATTACACATTTTCGGGATTGTAATCAGTACTTTTTTGAATATTTATTTTAAAAAATGATTCTCGGTAATCTTTAAAAATATTTTTTAATTTATCCATAAAATAAATCCATGTATTTTACAATGGCTAAGTAGTAAAAATTACATTATATACCATTTAAGTAACGTATACATTATTTTTTTCTTATTTCAAGATTTATCAAGTGTAAAATGTATTTACAAGAGTTTTGTTTTTGTAATAGTATGTTATTGTGCTGTGTATTAAACCTACAAACATCTTCGAACAACATACATTTAATAAAAATCTTATGTATTCTGTTTTGACCTAAAAAACATATATTTTTAGGCTAAATGTTTGGTTAAAAAAAAAATAATGCAAATCTTGTTGTCTGTTTTTGAACACCATAAATATAATAAAGGAGGGTTTGAACATATTTTATATTTGTAATATTACACAAAATATGTTATTTCTTATTCTTTGTCTAGTTCTCTAGTCGGATATACTTGAATTGTTAAAATAATATTTCATAATGATGGTTTTGAAAATGTACATCAGAAAGACTATCGTCTCGGTTCTTATACTAACAATAATTACAGGTAATACATACTTTGGTGCTTTGCAAATTTATTATTGTAAACGATGTACATGTTATTACGAGGATCATTCAGAAAGTAAGGTTACATCATCATTTATAAAAAAAGTGAAAAATGCATATATTTTAATGAAATCCACAGGATATTTCACAAGTAATATAATAAAACTTAATCGCCTTCAAGTTTAATGCATTTTTGTAGCCGGGGTACCAGCTTTTGTATACCCGTGTTATAGACCTCTTGCGCCAACACCTTACCTACTTTTCCACCATCTACTTCATTGTCGCGAACAAGGGAGACTTTATTTTAATGGTTTGTATCATTACGTTAATGTTTTATTATGTATTACAGACGTTGCCGCAAGACCGATGAAAGGTCAGTGTTATTTATACAATTACTTTTAACCTATACAAAATAGCAATGAAGTTTCTTATATTTTTGTAAAAGGCTGTTTATTTATAAAAAACTTACCTATATAAGAGAAAAAAATAATTTAATATTAATCATTAATTCGTTAACATTGAAATTATATTGTAAAATATTTAAACGTACACCTATTGGTCGAATAAAAAACCTGCGGAGGAAACTTTTTTGTACTCTAAATATATTGTCAATATGTCGTACATTACGTTTAGATAATTATTATGGACAATTCTTGTCTAGTCGAGACTTTTTTAAAAAATTCAGTTAAAAAATTCTAATAAATTTAGACAACTACCAGTACGTAAAAAATGAGGTTTATTATACCTTTATTTAGTCGACTTTTTATTTATTGTTAGTTAATTACATCAATAACTATATTAGTACTTGTCTCTGATATGTGGCGTGTAAGATAACATGATCGTTTTCATCCGCCGTTCAATTAGTATTAATTCATTATGTTAAAATTAACAATATGTTCAATCTGATATTTTAATTAAGTTTTATGAGATACCTATTTTATTTATATAATTCGCTTAATTATGTATATAAATAACACTTTTTTTATGCAGGAGGAAGTAGTCGTAAAAATGACGACAAAGGCAAAAGTAAAAATATATTTTTTTTTGATAAACAAAATATGTAAATAAAATACTATCAATTAACTGTTCAAAGTTAAACAAGGTTTTCCATCTCGATCCGTTAATGAATAAATAACATAATATGTATAATACGATAATTGTATAAACACATATAAGTAAAAAATAATTAAAATTTGAATGGGATATTATATTTACATCATTATAAATTCCGAGGTGTCCTTAGAATTATTTTATTTTAAAGTATGTGTCGCTCAGTAGCCACCCTGTGGACGTACGTGTGGCCAGATACCAAAAAATCATGTTACATATTAATTCAACAATATTTTTTCTCCTGATTTCAAATCTGAAATTATTTTTTTTTTAATGAGATACGACTTTTTATTTCAATCATTTATAAATTGAAAAAAAATGAAAATAATTTATTGTACCCATAGAGCATCCTGAATGTATCATTTGAAACTCGGTAGAACTTTACATTACACCCTATATATATGATATTTCTTCTTCATTCACCAGTCGTACTTACAGTGGGCTGTTGTTTTTTGTTGATTAGTTATACTTTATTGTTAATTTAATAACTACAATATTAACTAAAATCCATGTATTTAATGTATAAGCTAATAATTAATGGTAAGCGTTTTCACGATAAAAATAAGAGAGGATTATCTGTGCATTAATAAAGTTTTTTCGGAATTGATTGTTAAAATATCTATGATTTTGTACTAAGAAAATTGTATAATTAATAACATTTTGTGTATGCAGATCTAAGTGGGGGTCTCTCGCCCATAAAAATTTTAACAGGTTGTCTTTCACCAAAAAGTAAGTATTTTTTTATTTTTTTTTTATTTTGTATGAATTATTTTTTTTTATACAGCCAAAGATGAAAATAAATCCATGCACGATGAGTGTTTTTGAAGTTTTTAGTTTTAAACTATACAAGATAGCAATGAAGTTTCTTATATTTTTGCAAAAGGGTGTTTATTTGTACAATTTTAATTTTATAAGACGGAAAACTAATTTCATATTAATCTCTTGTCCAAAAATATTAAAAAAATTCTGTAATCGATAATACTAAAAGAAACTTGGTTTAAACTCTGATTTTAATAATTGTTTGCATGATTTAATTGCGTTAATGTATTTAATGTATTACAGCCGATAATGAAAGCACCAACGTTGAAGGTAATTCATACATTTAGTTTTAACCTATTCAAGATAGCATTGAAGTTTCCTATATTTTTGTAAAAGGCAGTTTATTAATAAAAATGTACTTTTAATAGGCGAAAAACGACTTTCATTTTTAACCTTTAATTCATAAACATTAAAATAATACAGTAAAATATTTAACGTATTTTAGCTAATGTAAAAATCGTTTTTGTACATCAAATATATTGTCAACATTTTGTACAATAAATACATTTGCGCTATACATGTGTGTCCATCTCAGTTCTTTGGTAATTTTAACTAGTTTAGCTTAGTTAATTGGGGACAATTATTGTCTAGTCGAAATTTTCAAAAAAATTAAGCTTTTCAATTTAAACAATACATACATTACATAGTAGATTAATATATTGCTATAATAATATTTGTCTTCGATATGCGACGTGAGAGACAATATGAGCTTTTTCATCTTTTCCTCTCGGATATATTTGTATTAATTCATTATGTTAAAATAAACAATGTGTTAATTCTAATACTTGAATTAAATTGTATGAGATACCACATTTATTTATTTATTTCGCTTTATTATGTATATAAATAACACTTTTTGTATGCAGGAGGAAGTAGTGGTTATAATGACAATAGGGGCCAAGGTAAGAACCTTTTTCGTTTAATTTATAAAAAAAATATGTAAATAAAATACAATTAATTAACTGTTTGATGCTAAACGAGGTTTTCAATTCCGATCCGTTAATGATTAAATAAAATAGAAACATTTTTTGTACACAGGAGTTGCGGTCGATGACAATGCTCGCTTTTTCGGTAGATATACTGTAACTTTTTTAGGTTAACTATAGAAGATTCTATAGTTGTTTGTTTTTTAACGTAATAAAAATATTGTAATCTACTTATTTTGCTTTTATTTTGTATAAATACAATTTTTTGTATGTAGGATTAGAGGACAAAGATGCTGAAGAAAGGAAACGTATTGGTGAAACTATCAGTATGTTATATACTGTTACTATTTTAGCTTACTTAATTATAGAAAACTCTTGTCTTGTCGAAACTTTCATAAAATAAATCTCATAAATCACAACAATAACAAGTAGTGAAGTTAAGTTAATTTAGTAGACTAATTATTTATTCTTAATTTAATATAATTTCGATTGTGTTTGATTGGCCACGTGAAAATAAGATGAGCGTTTTCATCATCCACTCACAGATAAACTTGAATTAATTATTAAGTTAAAATTAACAACATAATAATACTGATAATTGAACTAAGTTTTATAAGGTATAATTATATTATTTATTTCATTTTATTATGTATAAAAACCATTTGTTTTATGGAGATGATAAAAAACAGGGCAAATCATCTGTTCAGTGCATTATGTCATATTTTATGAACTGATTGTTAAAATATCTAATATTTTGTATTAATAAAACTTACTTTATGCAGAAAATAGTGAAGGTCAAAGTTTCGATGGCCTAGTATCTAAAGTATGGAGTACACCAAAAGGTTCTAATTCCGGTATGTTTGCGTTCGTAGTTTTTTTGTAATTTTTTTGTGTGAATTAGAATTTGGATTTTTTGAATATTATATAAATAACCATAGTTCATACGATCCGTTAATGATAATTCTTACATTATTATTTTTAACTCGGATTTATTTCACTATTATTACTGTTAGATAATATTTGATTGTAGGCCGACATAAGAGACGGAGAAAAAATATTTTTCTCAGTCCGTTGCACAACAGTTGTTGTTTAAAAATTCAATGAATAGAATAATCTTAAAATAAAAAAATTACAATAATTTTTTACATCATGATCGTGGAATATTGGAAAAAACCCCTATCAATTCATTTTACAACAAGAAGTTAGAGCATATTTACCTAAAATTGGGGGTAGTAAACATATTTAAAGATGTTTTTAAATCTAATAACGTTACGTTGATATTTTTTTCTAGTTTTTAACCTACAAATGATGTAATTAAGATTTGTTGTTAGGCTTAAAACTATATATATACAATTAATTGCCAGACATTTTTTATCTATAGCATGGGGACAAAATCACCTAATAAAATATAGAAATTTCTATAAAATTACTATGGTTGGATAATTATACCATTATCCAAGCAACGGTGTAGGTATAACTGTTCAATTAAATTTTGGTCAAACCATCGTTATTAAAATTAATAAATAAAATAGAAAAATGCTATTATTTTGCGTTAATAAAAAAAAGGTCAATAGGGTAGCTAAAACCAGTGATATTATATAAGGATTTTTGTTTTCAGAGAGAAAGTAATGATTGACAAAACTTATTATGAAAGCACCAAGATTAGTTGTATGTATTTAATTCATTTTTTTTAATTGAATAAGAAATTGTGTATTATACATTTAGTTTTTTGTGTTATATTTTTTTTTTTCAGCATGCTGAACCGTCATTGATCTTTACTCAGATTAAAAAAAAAAATTTTAATTCTATAGAAATATAAGTTAAAAAACTTATAGCTATTTTATTTATATCTAATATGATTTTGTTTGATAAGAGATTAAAGTGTCTTTTTAGTGTTATACATTTAATTTATGTTATTAAAATATATTATTCGATTAAATTTGAATCACAATTTCATTTTGCTTCAATTAATTTAATTCTGTATAATAAATATTATGACAATTTATATAGTATCACTGTATTATTTTCATTCTATAGAAATATATGTTAAGTATAGTAATGTTAACTATTGTATTCATATCTAACGCATTGATTTGTTGTTAAAAATTTTAATTATATTTTTAGTGTTATACAATTATTTAGTATTCATACACTAATAATAGTATTGAAATATAAACGATTAAATTTGAATTAATTTGTATTTTCGTACAACGTTTTAAAAAAATGTATTTGATTGTAATGTTTAGTTAATTACATAACGAATTCACAATTAATAACTTTAAAAATGTATAGTGCTTTGATTTATTGAATTCCTTTTAGTAAATATCGCGAACATTTAGATAGTGTCACTGTACATAATACTATAATATAATATACCCATTCTTCATTCTAAATAATTATTTCAAATGTTCTGTAGAATTATTGGTAATATGATGTAATGTAAAAAAAAATTAACTTAATATATATATTTATATATTTTTTGATGTGGATGTTATTGGAATAATGTATTGTGAAACTTTCTAAATGAAACGAGTATAATGTAGGATATTAGCCATAGTTTTTGGATTTCATACATAAAGTAGAGCGCAGCTCGTTTACGTGTAATTGTGTTTTTATATTTATTCTACCAGAATAATATTTTTGCAGACAAAAAAGTATAGAAGCATGAAAATCATATGCACAAAACAACCATAGCAAAGTACACTGAGTAAATTAGGACTTGGATACAAATGTAATTCGAATAAAAACAATTTTATATAGATGATGATATTATAATAATTTCGTAGTCGAAGAGAGTGAAACATATAACATACATATCAAAATATAGGCCAAAATATTATAATTTTGTTTTCTATTTACTGTTTTATTATCACTACTACTAAGAACTAGTCAACATGTTAACTATATAAAAACAATGACGTGTTAACCATTGTAAACACACCAATTGCTTACAACAATCGCTTCATGTATAGTACTACCCCAACAAAAACATAACAGTGAAAAAAGGTCAAGTTCCAGACCCCCTCCCAAAAATGTCAGCTTATCAAAATAGTGATATCTAAGTCTGCTATTTCTTTAGATCGTAACCACACTTCACTCCTACTTTCATGAGCAACACTGCTCTTTTATTTGTATTGCTTAATACTTGGCCAGTTTCTGAATGAATTATGGCCTTTCTGAATGAGGCATAAAACAGACTTGGCCGCAATGTAGATACCACTACTTTGATTGGTTGAAACCACGATAGTAATTAAATTAGTCATAAATAATATAGTGTAATTTAATTAATAAATTAGTGAAGCTAGAATTTATACAAGTAGCCACCATAAATCTAGCTTAGTATTATAAACGTAAAACGAAACCTAAACGTTTAGGTGTACAGTTACACTTTATAATAAACCACGTGACAAATGTAACAAGAACAAAGAACACTGCTACACTGCCATACATGTGAACACGAATTAACAAAGACACAACTACGACCAAATGATGGCTGACTAGAGACATGTGTTTTTATTAGGGAATACAATTTTTGATTATCCGTAATATCGTCCTTTGTTGATAAATCATACTTAAACATAATTTTGGATCCATCAGACGGTAGTAACAGCATCATAGAGTTTCTTATAACGTTATAATTTGTTTTTAAGTAACTTTAAAAGGTTTAAATATTAATTTCTATAATATATAACTATAAGTCTCTTAACGTTTTTTTTTTATATCAATAAATGTTTATATCAGAATTTGAACAACCAACATAACATGAGTAAAATTCTAACAGTGTACTTTATCAATGTGTATAAAATAAATGCATAAAAAAGAGACAATAATAAATATCATCGAGTGATATTAAAATACTGAGAATAGTGAACAACAAAACTAATCATATGATTGTGTTTGGAAAAATATAAAGATATCTCTCCTGCCTTTTGTGGTAGACGAAGACCTGTGGGTGCCTGATCAGGGGTTACCATACTCGTGATGAGGTTAGTTCTCTTTCCTTATTTCCGTCCACGGCTGCCTCCACCTGGCCAACCATGACAAAATTAGCGTTACTGAAATATATTGTTACTTATTCTAATGGGGGGATATTTAGACTTAAGACGTGGTGTCACTGTGTCATCGATAAATGGCGCTCTAGTCTTATCCGTTCTAATACTAAGAATGTTTGCTTTGTTATGATTTGGGGCCCCTATCACTTTGCCGGAATGGCAAGTATCAGTCTCAACGTTAACCGAAATTTGTTACCTATTGCCGACGAGCTGTTTACTTTGTCAGTGTTTGACTGTCATGTGTCATTTTTTTATTTTCGAAGAAAACACGATTTCCAAAAACAATACCGCCATTTGCGTCAAACCGTTTCTACTTTCTACGAAGTTGCTAAATAATGCATACGACGGTCATATGAAGTTTTCTGTATAAGTCATCAAGTTGCCCATTGTACAACCCAACCGTGTTTTTCAGAATAAGAAGCATTTATTCGTTCATTATAACAAGATGAAAAACATCACTATTTTTTTTATGGCTGCCATCATCATGGAAATGTCGTTGGGTAATTATTAGTGTTTGGTTTTTTTTTTAATCCTTCATTCTCTATTTAAATATTTAAAATCAACATTATAATAATATATTACTGTTGCGGCTAAGGTGATAAAAATTGACATGATTACCTAACATAACATGTGGTTTAAAGAAAACACCTTGATTTCATATTTCAAATGTTTTTATATTGTTCATACTGTTCAATATTATTGTGGAAATGGGAAAAAATTAATTTTTTATTAAATTTACAAATTATAACTAATAATAACAATGTTTATACAAACAGTATTTTAAGGCCAGAATAACACTTAAACTCGTTTGATGCCGACATATAAAGGATAACACAAGAGAGTAATATCTAAATTTCCATTGCAGGGTTATTCATGTTCTTTTTTCTTTAGTGATCAACTGCCGATGTCTGTTTGTTTGTTTACCAACAAATATTATATAGGGACACAAGCCTGTTAGATTGTTATCCATATGTATGAGAGATCTTGACATTTACATTAATAATAGATTAAAGTTTATTTTTTGTAATATGCATGTTTGGGGATCGACTGATGTAGGTCACTTGCGCTCGGTCAGATATCATAAAGGCAGTAGATTTTTTTTCTTTTTATATGTTAACATACTATTTTAAGGTTACCGTATTTTGTGTATATAATCCTTTAGAAACATACCATAATATTATATATTATATATATTTTTGGTGTGTGGTCAAAAATTATAACTTCATTGATTGTTATATTTCATTAATTACATAACAAATACACATTATAATATAATATTATTATAAATATAGAAATGCATTGTGCTTGATTTATTAAATTATGTCACTGTAAATTATACAATATATTATACCAATTCTTCATTCAAAACAATTATTTAAAATGTTCTTTATATTTATTGCTAATATGATATTATCTTTAACAAATTAATTTAATTTATATTTAATATATACATATTTTTTTATATGGATGTTATTGGAATAATGTATTGTGAAACTTTCTAAATGAAACGAGTATAATGTAGGACATTAGCGTCAGCTTTTGGATTTCATACATAGAGTAGAGCGCAGCTCGTTTACGTGTAATTGTGTATTTATATTTATTCTATCAGAATAATATTTTCAAAAATAATATTATTTATAGTACTATTATTCTATCCTAAAAAGCCAAGTACAGCAAAGACCAGCACATGCTAAACCAGTACAGTCCAAACCAAATGCAGTCTAAAACAGCATAGTATCCACAGATTCGCATCGAAGCGTTGTTTATAATCTAAATAGGCGTGGGGGTGGGAAGTGGGTGTA